AGAGATAAAGATCCTGAAATGGTGCTCCCATGATCTCGACTTTACCCCGAGTAAGCTAGACGCAAGTTATAAGGGATGGGCTGATCGGGGCCTCTCTTCCTACTGTACTTTTTTTAATCGGGGGACACTGAACAATTTTCAAATGTTGAAAATACAACATGGGCTAAATAACAGTGACTTTTTCAGATTCCTTCAGGTACGCCACCACATAAACAGTTCTATGCTAGAGAACCAGAGGGCGTTCGAAAACAACTTACTGAAAGTATTTATTGGTGCATATGGTACCGATTCAGGGCTCAAAGTGATATCAAGAATATATAAGGGACTCCAGGAGATTAAAAAAACAAGTACCATATACATAAAACTAAAATGGGAAAGGGAAACTAACAGTTGTATTCCAGAGGAAATCTGGACCAACTATTGTGAATTCCAATGGAGAATAACAAGCTCCTCCTCATGGAGAGCGTTCGCCTGGAAGAGTCTCACTAGATTTTTTATCACGCCCGCTCAGCAGTCTCACCATGCTGGTTCTTCCAGCTGCTGGAGAAATTGTGGCTCCCAGGAAGCAAACCATTACCATGTGCTCTGGGATTGCCCAGTAGTAAATACCTTTTGGCATAAGGTTTATAAAGAAATTGTCATCATATTTGGAAAAAACATTTATTTTAATTGGGATGAACTCCTCTTTGGTTTCCTGCACTCAACATCCACAAATATTAAAACAAAATACTTGTTTGGGATGTTGAGTGTAGCCACCAGGAAAGCAATCACAAAGAATTGGCTCAAACCAAACAGCCCATCTATAGATGATTGGTACGATATCATTTACGAAATATTTGTAATGGAAAGAATAACCTTCTCTTTGAGGCTCCAGGAACATAGATTTGAGGACATTTGGGAGAAATGGAAAGTGTGTATTACCCCGATACGCCATTCTTTTGTCTAACTGTTTGAATATTTTATTTAAGGATCTATACTGTAAATGTTTTATATTGTAAAGAAAACACCCCATGTTATTGTGTGCTTATTGTTGTTGTCTTGTCAAGAAAAAGAAAGAAAGACGGACCAATCTGTACAACTATTTAACTACATATGTATATGTACACTGAAGTTGAAATGTGATCCAAATTTTTTTTTTAAATATGTAAAAAAAACAATAAACAGTCTGACGTCTACCCCCCTTCTAAGAGTGGCTGCTACCTCTCTCAGAAGGCGGACGATGGACGGGGCTGTGAAGGCATCACCGCCACGCGCATGCGCAGTGTCGACCGGGGTTGTCAACCTGGGGTACCATCCTGTTCAGACACTAGAGGGCCCCATAACACAACAAATAAAGACATAGAGGGCAGACGACAGAGATGTGACATCTCCACTCGCTTTGAGAAGCGAAAAGTGGAGGATGCTCACAGATTCTGCTTGGGTTTTCAAGACAATAACACAGGGTTACAGACTCCAATTAGCTGTCACCCCTCCTCACTTCTCGGGTATTCTGCATTCGCAAGCCCGGCGAGAGTCGGCCCATATTCTAGAGCAAGAGATCCTCTCGCTACTAGACAAGAAGGCTATATCTATAATACCCTCCGAACAGAGTCAGAGCGGCTTTTATTCCAAGTATTTCCTCGTTCCCAAACGGGGAGGGAACGGGATTCGGCCTATACTAGATTTGAGGGCTCTGAACAAATATCTCAAAAGATACAAATTCAGAATGCTCACTCACACATCTCTGTTGCGTCTCGTGCGCCAAAACGATTGGTTCACATCAGTCGACCTGAAAGACGCGTATTTCCACATCCCAGTATATTATCCACACAGGAAATATCTGAGGTTCGCCTTTCAGGGTGTCTGTTACGAGTACAGAGTACTTCCCTTCGGTCTGTCTCTCAGCCCACGAGTGTTTGTACGGTGTACGTAAGCCGCGATAGCCCCGTTAAGACAACAGGGTATTCGCCTGGCAACTTATCTGGACGATTGGCTCCTTCTCGCACAGTCGGAGCAAGAGGCTATTACGCAGACGAATGTCCTCGTAAAACACCTGCTCGACCTGGGTTTCGTAATAAACACAGAAAAGAGCATGTTATCCCCAGCCCAGACTGTACTCTTCCTGGGCCTACGCCTGAATTCGGTGCCCTTTACAGCCCGCCTGTCAGCAGAGAAAGTGAAAGCCTACAGGGCTTGCCTCGCTCATTTCCAGCCACGCAAATATGTTCCCTTCAGATCATGTCTGCGGTTACTGGGGCTCATGGCGTCAGCCATCCTGGTGGTACGACTGGGACGCTTACACATGAGGGAATTTCAGCGCTGGGTGGCTGCCCTCAGACTGGACCCCGTGCGTCATGGCGCGCGGAGAGTGATAGTCACTATGAAATGCGTATTGGCACTGCGCCACTGGCTGCACCCGACTTTTCTAGTACGGGGCGTGCCTATGGCTGCTGTCCTATCGCGGAAGGTGGTCACCACAGACGCATGTCTGATGGGCTGGGGGGGTATATACGAAGGTCGACCTGTGAGGGGTCTCTGGAGCAGAGACCTCCAACGGTCACACATAAATTATCTGGAGCTTTTAGCGGTGTTCCTCACCCTGAAACGCTTTCTGCCTTTTCTCAGAGGACATCATGTCCTCGTGAGGACAGACAACACGACCACAATATCGTATATAAACCGCCAAGGGGGTTTGCGTTCTCTCCAGTTACACATGCTGGCACGCAAACAGATCTTATGGAGCTGCGGACGTCTCCTCTCTCTGAGAGCGACGCACGTACCAGGAGTGATGAACCTCGGGGCGGATCTGCTGTCCAGAGGTGCACCACTATATGCAGACTGGACTCTACATCCAATAATTGTGAGTCAGCTGTGGGTGCGTTACGGCCGGGTGGATCTGTTCGCATCAAAAGAAAACGCTCAATGTCAGCTGTTCTTTTCAATGCGTGATTTAAACGCACCGTTAGGCGTGGACGCGCTCGCGCACGCTTGGCCTCCGGTCCTTCTGTACGCGTTCCCACCCCTGGCTCTGATACCCCCAACTCTGGCCAGAGTGAGAGAACAACGCCACACACTGATCCTAATAGCTCCACACTGGCCTACAATGTACTGGCTGGCGGAGATATATCAGCTGCTGTGCAGGCAGCCGTGGCAGCTCCCGCTACGCAGGGACATACTGTCTCAAGCGGGGGGGACGATTTTTCACCCACACCCAGAGTGCTTGGCACTATGGGCCTGGCCCGTGAGTGGTATAACCTAAATACAGTGGGACTCCCTCAGAAGGTGATAAACACTATTCAGAGTGCAAGAGCTTCCTCCACCAGGTCCCTCTATGACTGTAAGTGGAGGGTGTTGGAGGAGTGGTGCCTTAAAAAAGGACACATCTCTTTTCAATGTCCTGTCGGGGTGATTCTATCATTTCTACAGGACCTGATTGATAAACACAGAGCTTTCTCTACGATCAAAGTGTACCTGGCTGCTATTGCTGCATGCCATGTGGGCTTTGAGGGAAAGACGGCTAGCCAACATCCCTTGGTCTGCCGTTTTATGAAAGGGGCTCGCAGGCTCCTCCCTGTTTCCAGGTCACTGGTGCCCTTATGGGACTTGGCAGTGGTTTTAGATGGGCTCACTCGACCTCCATTTGAACCCCTGGAAGAAGCTGACATGAAACACCTGTCACTGAAGACAGTGTTGTTACTGGCTCTGGCATCTGCCAAGCGAGTCAGTGACATTCATGCGCTCTCTGTACATCCTTCATGCACTCAGTTTGCCCCGGGGCAAACGAGAGTGTTGCTGAAGCCCAGCCCTGCCTTTGTACCTAAGGTGGTTGGCTCATGTACCCCCATTGACATTGAGGCATTTCCTCCGCCACTGTGTTCCTCTGAGAAACAGCAGCCGAATTTGCTGTGCCTAGTCCGTGCTTTACGCACCTATATGGACAGGTCAAAAGAGTTTCGATGCAATGACCAACTCTTTGTATCCTGGGCTAACCCTCATAAGGGCAAGCCCGTTACCAGGCAACGGCTCTCCCACTGGATTGTGGAGGCGATTGCTCTGGCTTATACGAGTCAGGGTTTGCAGGCACCAACAGGCCTGCGTGCTCATTCTACTCGTGGACTGGCTACATCCTGGGCTTTGTTCAAGGGTGTTTCCATCCAAGACATTTGTGCAGCAGCGTGCTGGTCCTCACCGCTCACTTTTGTCCGCTTTTACAGGCTAGATGTATCTGCTCCAAGTATGGCCCGTGCAGTGCTGGGCCCCGTGTTGAGACAGGGTTCTACCTGTTAAGTTCTGGTTGTTTTTGGTGATTTTCGAGATAAGCATGTCTAGCAATACGGGAGTTTCAATATCCCATAGTGAGACATCGAACGGAGTGTTATGAATGAGAACTATAGGTTACTTACGTAACCCCAGTTCTCAGAGTAACATGAAGTGAGATGTCTCACCAGACGGCCCTTCTTGCTAAGGCGAAGCGAGAAGAGTTGCTTATTTTGAATGACGCTGCAACGTAGCGCAAGCTACTTAAAGGGTGGGTGGATTCCCTGACGTAGACGTCAAGATCACCAGCCAATCAGGATTGGCGTAATGAGATTGATGCTTCTGTTTGCATACGCGTTGAGGCGCATCCCATAGTGAGACATCTCACTTCATGTTACTCTGAGAACTGGGGTTACGTAAGTAACCTATAGTTATACAAGCAAATCATTCCTTATTATTATCAACATCCCAGAAAACAAAGACAAAAAATAACAATGTGCTTGTCCGAGTCTAAATAACTTCTGACTTCCTGTCTCTGGCTCTCAGAGGCAGGAAGTCTCCTGCTGAAGGAGTCAATCTTTAAAAATAGCTAACATTAATACTTTAATTTTTCATGTTTCATGGTTGTTGTCTTTTTCCTGTGAGGCCATCTATCAAGAGGAAAACGCAAGACAAAAAGTTTAAAACAATGCTTTGGAAAATGTTCTGAACTGACATGAGTGGGAAACGTATGCTTGTGATTTGTATATAAAGAAATGAGCAAATGGCAGATATGTTCTTTATCATTCTTGCAGGGCATTTTGTTCTTGTTTTCCTGACAGTTTTATTTACCAAAATACACAGGGTTAGGGTTTCTTGAGTAGACAGACTCAAGCAAGCAGTAGACAGTAGCAGATGTTTTTACCGAATACTACTATGACTTGATTTCTAAATATGAATCTTTGACTTTATTCTACGATTTCTCAGATTTTTTCGACATACTATTTGAAATACTCACATACTACACTTGGATATTTGCGTTCATATGTACATACTACACTATGATTTTCTGTCAGCCATACTATGCTATCATTTTTCTTCGACATTAGCTATGACTTTTTATCGACATATGACATTTTTTGCCATACTTTGCCATACGTGTTCTCTAATATTTTACAACATATGATGGTCTGTTATAGCAGTCACTTTCCTGTGTCACATTTGGATTCTCCGTCCTGATAATCTCCTCTCCTCTCAGGACGTGGCAGGCAGACCCTTCCTCCGGCCCTCTGTACCTCTCCTCTGTTTCCACGGAGCACCCAGAGGTGCTGATGGAGGGGGTCAGGGCCCACGTCCACTCCTGCCTCTACCTGCTGGAGCCAAATGGAGCCAGGAAGACCCGACTGACACATCTCTGCAGGACAGACACCAGGTGAAGATGCAGGCACTAGAAATGAGAGATCAGGTTCAAGTTATTTATCTGTAGATTTGGTTTGCAGATAAAAGACAAAGTTATCCATTATGAAACACATTCTGAGACAACACAGACAACAGACAAATAAAATAAAAAATCCACCCTCTGCATTTCACAAAGTTAAATAAATAAATAGATATTGCTTCAAACTTGTTCCTTTGTGCGAAGGCTGCTGAATTAAAGCTGTTTTCATACTGCTTTTTTTTCTTCTACCGAGAGTGAATGTTTGCTAATTTTGCAAATGAGTTTGTGATGGGCTAAGTTAGGGAGTAGAGGAGGGATGAAAGGGAAAAGCCTTATTCACTCATATTGAATAACTGCCAGGGTGCGCGGAAATCAGTGTTATTTAATTATCAGAGAGGAAAGAGGGAGAGGCAGGATGAACGGTACATGTTGCTGTTTGTTTGAAGAATAAGTATAGAAGCAGACGTTTGATTATGAAGGGATGACAGAGATTTAAAAAAATAACATGTAAAGACATAGATTAAGAAAACAAAGGACATTTTTACAAAGATGGGCTAGTTTCTCACTTTACCCTGCTGATGTAAACCCAGAAAGTTCCATTAGTCCATGCTCTCACATCTCTTCTGAGTTTACTGAATGTTCGTGTTCCTAAAAGCATTCAAAAGTGAACATTTATTACAAAAAGGAGGCAGACATTTGTGACTGAGATCTCCGAACCTGAGCACATAAAACTACAATTATTTGCATGACTAAATTATACAAGAGATTATTTTAAAAAAATGACAGAAATTTGATTTAGTATTCAAACCATTCACCACATAAGTCTATGCATTGCATGAAAACTTGCATAAAAGGGCTACATCTGAAATGGTTCCTCTATGTAAAAGTCTTTACAAATGAATACATTTATTTAGATGGACAGAAGACAGAAGGGCAAAGTGAGCTGCAGAGAAGCCAAAAGGATTTAAGGGCGTGAGAAGCTTATTAAAGGAAATATCTGGAGAGGCACTTAGTCCGTCTCAACCGTCCTAATTGAGCCTTTTCTGTGTTTCTGACCTCTGCCAGCGTCGATCTGCAGCACCATCACAGCCTCCCTGTAGGTGAGCATATGAGCAGGAGGAGCAGCGGCCCTCCTCCTCATGATTCATGCCCTTTGAAACCAAGTTGCTGCAGATTTTCAGCTGCTTACATGATCAATCTGACTCTCGGCGGAGTCCCGCGGCTCCATTTGTTTCGGTTGATTAAATGAAATGAAGCTCCGAGCAACAGAAAGCTGGTGGCAGCGTTTCTCTCACAGAGGCCCGGGCTCATAGGAACTCTGTCATTAAACTGTACTGTTGTTGTCTTCACATCAGCAGCAAAGACTGCAGGAGGATGAACTGCAGATTCGATCAATTCAGTTATGAGCACGCACTGTTTCCTCTGCACAGATTCAATAGCACACAGAGGGCCGGAGGAAGAGATGAAAAGCTGAAGGCGTTAAAAAACACAATAATAATCAAATAAAATCACACTTATTTGTGCTTCTTTCGAACTCAATATGATAATGCTTAATACCTATCAATAGGTCCTTATTTAAAGTAAAGTCAAAGATATAGAGACTGATTGAGAAGACAGCAAAACTAAGTCAAAAAGATTATAGGGGTAGTTCTAATAGATGAATGTTCTACATACATGAGGCGAAGCCTGCGAGCTAGTTCAGGCAGTCAACTCGAGCACTTATGCTGCATTCATACATAACGCCCCTTGCCACTCTACAACCAACCAAACAGAGTCTCCTTAATACGCCGCTCTATTTAACCTGCAGATCTCTCTCCATGCATTGCTTGCTGCTGCTATTGCCGCAGCTACCTCTACGTCGCTGCTGCTTGCCTGCTGCCACTGCTGTGTTCACTTGCTATTGCTGCGTTCATGTTCCTGCTGCTGTGTTTCATGTTGCTGCTGCTTGCCTGCCGGTGCTGTCCTTGCAAATGTCTATTGCAATCTCCGACTCTGGAACCGAATCATCATACGCAAGAAGCCGTAAGAAATGCCTCATTCCCGAAACACAGGCTAGCTCAGAGCATGGTTCAGACGCCGCTGGAACGAGCCACAGCTCCCGCACGACACACATCCAGGTGTCCCTTCCGTACTCATCTGGAGTAGCTTTTAATATCCTTTGGGCCAGAGGAAGTCCCGAGTTCTACGCCAGCTCCGGTAACAACCCCTTTCTTGTGTGTCAGCTAAGAGTCTCTCGGTCGGCGGGTAATTAAACACCAAAAAAGGCAGGAGCAAGCTGACCCCGGCATTCCCAAAGTACCTGCCTCCCTGTCCTACCTTCTCGAAGTAAAATCAGCGCTTGAAGCCTTTAATTGCACGATATATTCCCGTGAACAAACTCGATTTCCTCTGCCTGCATGTAAACAAATGTTTCTACTTCCGCGTTCAACCACTTGTGCCGCTGACGTCACACTCCCGAGGATTCTGGGAATTGGAGTCCCAGATCCAGCCACGAGTTCTAGCTTCCTGCCCCCTGCAGCAGCAATTCCTTAGGAATCGCATCTTGGCAGGTATATAATACTATTCTGCATAAGCAATGTTTTATTATGGAAATATTTGGCCTGCAGTAGGTCATATTTGAGGCAATTATACAGAAGTTGTATGTGTATAAGTATTTATACTAGGCCTACTATAAATCAATGAAATTAAAAATGGAAATAAATTAATAATTTCCATCACGTGAATATGAAGGGAAGCTCGATACATTTTTGACCATCATTTTAGACTTCAATCTCTCCTACAGTGTCTTTTCTATGAATACCATGAATCATTCTCTGCCAAGCGGCCATGTACATTTAATCACCTGCCAAAGAAGAGTTTTTCCTTACAGGAATTAAGCTCTACCTGCAATATTCTGCCCCTCGCTGGGTGTGCCTCAGGAGGCCACATGCTGCAAATCGTTTCCAAGCTCTTTCTAATCACAGATGTTCATCAAATGACCTTATCACAGGCTTAAATCAAGGTTTCTTAGCAGGTTAGGCTGGCTCCCAGGGACCCATGTCTGTTGAAACCTGCACTCAAGACTGAAGTTTGCACTGAAGGAGCCAGGAGTATTACACGTGCTGCTATTTAAATGTTTAAAAACACGACAGGCCCCTAGCCTAGTGCTAGGAGGAATTATTCTAGCAATGTTTCTTGAGCCGTTAGTTCCTCACGATTATTCTGTTAAGAGTATTAATAACTACTAAAGATTTCCCCGTTTCTTTGCTCTGTAGATGACATGGCAGGGAAAGCAGACATCCCATATGCCTTCTGTGGCATATATATTTTAAGGTTTTACAATCAAATGTGCATTTGGTTTTCATAGTAGCCCACGTTTCTTTGACACCTCATCAGAAGCAGTATGCTGGATTCTCTGCAACACCTGCAAGCACCCCTTGGTGTCCATCTTTTAACCATTTCCTAGTTAACTTTCCCAGATAAAACTTTTCAACAGCTAGGCCTACCTCTTTCAGAACAGGAACTGGAAGCCCTTCCACACGTCTAGAATTATCGGTATCATTCTCGATAGTGTGCTGATGCAAGCTTCACTGCCACCAGACAAGCTGTCCCGCATCAGAACAGCCATAATTACAATTAATGTTATTTATTTAGCGCCTTTCCAAATGTTCAAAGTGCTCTACGTTATACTACATATTAGACTTGTAATACATTCAATACTGATTACTGCCTTCAATTATGGTCTCCCACTGGTAGTCTCTCTAAAAAAGATGTTTTATATTTATAAGGAACAAGCGCTAGCCTTTCTGTTCAAACCTTAAGGCACCATAGTCTTAGGTCACGTTCACACCTGCTTGGTTAGTACTATTGAATCGGTCCCTGTAGCGTTAACCCCTTGATGCGGTTCGTTGGATTGGTGTGGAAGCAGTCCGATACCTCTGCTCCGCTAAAAGAGGTGGTCTCGGGTCGCTCGCTAGTAAACTCCAGAGAGGTTCATTGCTGGTGTGACGTAGTCCGCATCAAAACATGGGAAACAACTATTTGTGCGTCATCGCTTGTTTTGCTATCTATGCTGTGTGCAACATCCAGTAACCTATAGGGTCATGCATTCATTCTGGTGACTGCTTACCTCACTGGTCCCCTGTGTACAGAGAAAAGGCAGTGGTACAATCTCATCAGAGCCACCTGTCATCGGTGAAACCTCCTCACTGCATAACGTCGCATTTTGTGTTATAATGTTTTTAATGCACGTTGTCTGATTTATAATCCTATGCGCTGGCCGCAGAGTTTGCTGTCTCTCCAGATTAACAGCAGTATGAAAATAACCTGCCAATGCTCCATGATGCAGGCTACTGTAGGAATTGCTGGGATCTGCATTTTATCCGCTTGATGTCCCGCCAATTGTTGAAAAAGCATCTCCGTACAATGACTTTAGTTTACAGTTCATAGTCTATTTGAAGTTGCCTGGGTGAACGCAAACCCAACCTTCTGCAAATGAAACGATGTAATACACTTGTGTCTGGTGTAAAGATGCGGACTATTCGGCATGAATGCAATCTTAGAGATGGTTATTGCTCAGATCTTTGGTCCTTAGCCCCTCTGCGACGAGTGGAAGGTTATGTTCATTCTTTTATAATGACCTTGCGGTGTCCTCAGATCCTCTAGTTACTTACAGATGCTGCACCTTCTGCTGGTTCGGGGGATTTCACAATGAGTGGTTTGCCCCACCAGCTTGCCATGCCCTTCGTTCAACAAAATGACTCTGGATCTACACGTCAAGCCCCTCAAGGATTTCCCATATTCTGCCTCCAACCAAGAGCATGATTCAAAGCATACAATTCAGCTTGGTACTTTATCTTCTTCTGTCCCTCCTCTGTGTACTTGTGCAATAGATATAATAGTCGTTCATGCATTATATATAATTGTATCCTGCAATCTTCAAGTGCTAAGTATTAAGCCACGCTAGAGTTCATTAATTTGCTCCTCAAGGGCCTTAAGAAGGCACGTCCTCCAGGCAATGATAAAGACTGGCAAAGGGGTTTCACTATACATTGATAAACGTCAGATGCAGTTGTTACAGCTTTCCATTGGTTTCTCAGGTGGCGAATATACACAGACCTCTCACCTTTTAATCCTCAGCATAATATCACCCTTACTGAATTAACGTTGGAGATCAAATATACACAGTTTTGAAACATTCAATGTCTGACAGTTCTGTCTGGGGAGTCAAGGAACCCCGAATAATCATTGCTAAAACTAACACTGTTTTCTTTGTCCTTTATCTTCCATGCTGAACTTCTCGCATCATTGCCCTCTGACACATGGGTCGGCACCCATGTTTATTCGATGGCTGCAAACCCAACGACGAGGGTTCTCCTCCAAGCTGCGCGATCTCTGCCTAAGCTGCGATCTGCCCCCAGATCGCTATTCCCACTGTTTAAGAATCTGCACAGCCACAACCGCAGCTCTATATCCGCCTACCTCAACCCTGAGTATCCTGGGCCGTTGGTCATCTTCTGCCCACCAGCGCTATATCGTGCCTCACATGAATGAGATCCTTTCAGCACAAACAACCATGAGCTCTTGCACTACTCGATGATGAGTAAACGTTCAAATATGTATATCTGTAGAATTCTGTTATTGCATACCAGGTGGTTGCTGGGTTAGATTATATTTATTTCATTATAGTATATTCCCCTCATAGCTGCATGCTTGGGGGGGAAAGCTCATTGTCGCTGCCTCAAAGACCTAGATACAGCAGTCTTGATAGGTAGTATATTCCCCTCAAAGCCGCGGTGCTTAAGGGGGGATGGCTTTTCGGGCTGTTCCCGGGCCTTCACATAGCAGTTTCACTAGGTAGTATATTCCCCTTAAATCCGTGGTGCTTAAGGGGGATGGCTTTTCGGGCTGTTCCTGGGCCTTCACATAGCAGTCACTAGGTAGTATATTCCCCTCAAAGCCGTGGTGCTTAATGGGGATGGCTGTTCCCGGGCCTTCACATAGCAGTTTCACTAGGTAGTGTATATAGGTAGTATATTCCTCTCCAAGCCGCTGTGCTCAGGGAAGAATCGGCTCTGGGCTATTCCTCAGGCCTACACATGGCAGTCTCACTTAGTAGTATATTCCCCTTAAAGCCGCTGTGCTTAGGGGGAATGGCCACATGGCAGCTCGCCAGGCCCTCTACTTATCAGTCTTACATCACCAGCGTCAGGCTCGGGCTACGCAGTTTTGGGGGATAGTATCTGATCTCCACGCAGTTTTGGGGGTTAGTTATTTAATCATCACTCATCGTGCTATGTATATCTATGGAGTGATGATGCCCGAGCCTAGTCGCCAAACTCAACTATATGCTGCTTCTAATAAACATGTTAAAGGAACACGTGAGTTGTCTGACTGAAATGAGGCGAAGCCTGCGAGCTAGTTCAGGCAGTCAACTCGAGCACTTATGCTGCATTCATACATAACGCCCCTTGCCACTCTACAACCAACCAAACAGAGTCTCCTTAATATGCCGCTCTATTTAACCTGCAGATCTCTCTCCATGCATTGCTTGCTGCTGCTATTGCCGCAGCTACCTCTACGTCGCTGCTGCTTGCCTGCTGCCACTGCTGTGTTCACTTGCTATTGCTGTGTTCATGTTCCTGCTGCTGTGTTTCATGTTGCTGCTGCTTGCCTGTCCCACCACCACCCCAGCTTCCACCTGTAGGCTCGGGGGTTAGTTATTTAATCATCACTCATCGTGCTATGTATATCTATGGAGTGATGATGCCCGAGCCTAGTCGCCAAACTTAACTATATGCTGCTTCTAATAAATATGTTAAAGGAACACGTGAGTTGTCTGACTGAACTATAGTTAGTGTATTATCTACAGGAGATGGCAGTCAGCACGCCTTCAGTTTGGAGAAACAGACAAAGCAATGTACTGATGTGGATGGGATGGCCCTCTAAAAGACATGGTCCAGCAAAAAAAAATCAACATTAATTTAATTTGACGCTGTATTTAATATACAGTATGTGAAGCGTCCCTGCATTGAAGCTGTAATATATCCTTTATTCAAAGCTACTGGACACGGGCAGATCACAGGAGTTGCTGATCTACTGTTGACTTAATCAGTTTGTTTATTTGTTTTACATGTGTCTGGTTACTCCGAATTAACCCTTTGGAACACTTCATTCTGACTATTCCTTAAAAAGAATTGTGTGAATGTGTATTGTTAAGTAACTTTCCGAGTGTGAAGCGAGACAAATTTCACAACAATCGTACCCCCACCAATTTAAAAGTATTATCATCACAATTATGAGATACTTTCTGACTCATAATCCTGAGAAAGAAAATCAAAACTTTGACGACTCACCACTTTGAATCGGCATTTCGGTCCTTTTTGTTTTACCGACTAAGTCAAATCGCATCCATAATTTTGATTCACAGACGATAGATCTTCAAGGTCGGCCGTCATTTTGATTGATTCACCTTTTGTCAATTGTTATTGTTCCCGTGGAGTGAGCTTCCAGGAGAAACAGAGTACTAAGAGTCACTCATAACATCAGAAAGAGGGAGGACAGATTTGATCTATAGCTGTGTTATTATCTCAGCAGGCTTTTAGTGGGCCCATTACAAAGGAAGAGAAAGGATCCCGTCAGCATACATTCTCACCATTGTGTCTTTTTTTTCCCTTTTTCTCATGTGTGCTAAATAAAGAACAAAGTGACAGCCACAAGCTGAACTGCTACTATTATGATTAGTGCTGCAGATAGCTGTATCAATCTTTCAAAAGTGGATACTAACGCCAACATGTCCATGCTCATCCCTCTGCGGCTCTTTACTAAAAATAGCCTGTTAGCCACTTGAATCTTCTAAATGTTGAACATTTTCCAAGATGGCCGTCATTTCCAGCAGTGGAAACCAGTACTACCTCTACTACTACATGATCTCATACTCACATTCAACCACATAATTCATACCACTGGATCAAAGTCGCTGATTTTGGTATTGAATGTACAATCTAGAAACCTAGAAACGAGTCTTCTCGTTCTACGCAAAATGAGTTAGCCATCACTGAACACCATGATGTCACCAGTACTACCTACTACTACGCTCCTACACCCCAAAAACACCTCCACCAACTTAACTACAATGAATGTTAGTCTACCCAGTTTGCCATTGGCAGATCATTTGGATTGTTTGGCTTGGGCTTGGTAAAAAGGAGCTTCTGAGTAATTCCTGACGTCTGAATGTGGTTTCTATGTTGTGAGAAACGTATGATTTAACACTGAGTGAAATTGATTTATGGCCAAAAATAATTTCCAAGCCATTTGTGGTGGCCATCTTGCATTTTGCCGCCATCTTGGATTTGTAAATGGCTCACGGTCTTTTTCAAAAGCGTAACCTCAAAGGAGTTGATCTGCCAGTTTCAGTACTTGTATCCCCTCTGAAAGATTTCCCTGGTATTTTCAGTTATCTGCTACAAGTGCATTCACAGTTAAAGCATGTAGCTGATCTGGAGCACGCTGAGGTGAAATAATCTTCGATTATAAGATCACTTACAGGCAGGCAGCAGGCGTCGGAGTGACTTCGGCCTGCCAATGCTCCTGTTATGCATGAGTGATAGTGTACGAGAGATGTGAGAACACACCCGGAGGGACGAAATGCCTTCACTCTTCCCTTTGTCTGTCACTTCCTCTCCACTTTAATTTCCTCATGACACAGCTCAGGCTAAACATCTGCCGAGCACCAGTCTGTCTCGGGCTTACCAGCCGTGACGTTAATTTGAAGTGCTTGTTAACTTTCAAGGCGAGACAACATGTCCACGGCGTCCGGGGTCAACAGGGCCTTTTACAGAGGAACAGATCCTATCGCCTCTGGAGGAAATGAAATGTGTGATGGCCTCAGTCAGAGAGAAACAGCCACCATGTTTTGTTAGAACTGGAGTTAAGAAACAACATTGAAACCCCTAATAGAGAGACGCAAACATAACTTTTACAAGTGAATATTGTGATGTGTTTGGAAGGAAAAGCACAGATGTAACGACCAGCATTATTGATATCAGGCTTTTTTACTTCATGGTTCAGATCAGCTCTGCTCGGCTCACTTTTGATAGCAGGTCCTTTTCTCTACTTCGTTTCCCAATGTTGTTAAGCCCTCAGGGTTTAAACTCAACCTTCTAGTGTCGGCTTAGGTCATTTTGAACCTAAACAGAGGAGGAACCAAAAGAGTGTATAAAGGTCCCCTATTACACTGTTTTTCATCAATATATTATAGGTCTCAGATATATACAAAACATGTCTCTGAAGTGTTGGCTCCAAATACCAAACAGATCGTGCATTGTAGCATCCCATAAACCCCTCTGTTTCAGCCGTGTTTCAAAAGT